CTGTAGCCAAGCTGAGGATTTGGTCATTCTAACCTCTCTGTTTTTAACTAACTTTACACCTGAGGTTTAGAAATAAACAAACAAAACTTGGCTGTAAAATTTTGCTGTGCTGCAATAGAATACCTATTCTCTGATAGTGATTGTCAGCCTACAGAAAAAGACAATTCCCTTGTCTCTGCTCTGGACCCAAATTAAAGCAAAAAACCTCCAACTACTTGGAAACCTGCTTACCCAGCCCAAAGAAAAAGCAAATGGGTAGAACACACACCCCCTATTTACTTTTAGGAAGAAAAGAAAAAAAAACCTCTGGATTGGAAGATTTCCCTGCAGGAGTTAAGTACCCTGCCTCCAGGCAAAAAAAACCTGCAATTCACAAGATAATCCCCTTTTGTCTCTGCTTGGCCACAAAGCAGAGAGAAACCAAGCTGCTTTCAGTTTCAAAGCTGCTTTCTGGACTTTCTTTCCAAAGAAAAAAAAATTTTCCTTTTTAAAATCTGTATTTCTAGTTCAAAAAATCTCAACTGGATCTCAAATGATTTCAGGTTAATCCCACCACTGTGCCACCATGTCAAGGTTCCTCCCCCACTCTGAACTCTAGGGTACAGATGTGGGGACCTGCATGAAAAACCTCCTAAGCTTATCTTTACCAGCTTAGGTCAAAACTTCCCCAAGGTACAAAATATTACACCCGTTATCCTTGGAATGGCCGCTACCACCACCAAACTAATACTGGTTACTGGGGAAGAGCTGTTTGGACGCGTCTTTCCCCCCAAAATACTTCCCAAAACCTTGCACCCCACTTCCTGGACAAGGTTTGGTAAAAAGCCTCACCAATTTGCCTAGGTGACTACAGACCCAGACCCTTGGATCTTAAGAACAATGAACAATCCTCCCAACACTTGCACCCCCCCTTTCCTGGGAAATGTTGGATAAAAAGCCTCACCAATTTGCATAGGTGACCACAGACCCAAACCCTTGGATCTGAGAACAATGAAAAAGCATTCAGTTTTTACAAGAAGACTTTTAATAAAAAATAGAAGTAAATAGAAATAAAGAAATCCCCCCTGTAAAATCAGGATGGTAGATATCTTACAGGGTAATTAGATTCAAAACATAGAGAACCCCTCTAGGCAAAACCTTAAGTTACAAAAAAGATATACAGACAGAAATAGTTATTCTATTCAGCACAATGCTTTTCTCAGCCATTTAAAGAAATCATAATCTAACACATACCTAGCTAGATTACTTACTAAAAGTTCTAAGACTCCATTCCTGTTCTGTCCCTGGCAAGAAGCACACAGACAGACACAAACCCTTTGTTTGTCTCCCTCCTCCCAGCTTTTGAAAGTATCTTGTCTCCTCATTGGTCATTTTGGTCAGGTGCCAGCGAGGTTACCTTTAGCTTCTTAACCCTTTACAGGTGAGAGGAGCTTTCCCCTGGCCAGGAGGGATTTCAAAGGGGTTTACCCTTCCCTTTATATTTATGACAGTGCCACAAGTACTACTTTTCTTTTTGCGAATACAGTCTAACACGGCTGCTACTCTGATCCCTAGAGATACCTTATCTTTGTCAGTTTCATTTCCTGTTTGCTGATGCCTAATGCCTCCCTTCTTCCTCCCCCCTCCCTTTGATTTAACTGTAGGCAGTCAGACAATCTCAAAACAGGGAAACCAAGACACATAGTATTCATACAAAATGATATAGATATCTTCTTAATTTCCACACCCTAATACAATAAAATATTTGAATTGGATAACATGTCCTTTGTGTTCATCTCAATCCCAACCAAAGGCTGGCACAGATAAAAGACGACAACTTGCCTCTTTGTGAAGTGATTACCAGGTAATTTTAATGCTGTGTTTGATAACTCATTTTGTACAATTAATCACAATTAACTGTACCCTAGTAAAGTGAATACAAAATCCACTTATGGAAAGCTTTTGAGGAGCTTTCATATAACATTTTCAGGGGTAAACAAGCCTAGCTATTTGGAGTAAGAAATTGTAGAGTTCTTAGGCAAATTATTTTGCCATACTAATACATGTATTGGAAGTGAAGCTTTGTGCAACAACAAAATTTAAAAGGGACGGAATAGTGACGATGAGAACCGGGAAACCAACTATATGCTTATGCAAGTTTGCATTTCTAGTTGGATTGTCTACCAAAAAAACTTGAATTCAATACATTTTGGTGGGAAAACTCTTAAAATCTGTAATGGCCTTCTCTATCCCTCTTCTACCTTCCTTCTCATACCACTTAGATCTCATTCAAAACTAATTATTTGTAAAGTTGGTTTGTTTTTAAACTAAGTTATTTTTGAGTTACACTTGGGGGCAGGGTGGAGAAGGGGCCATGCAAGGATATAATTAAAATGGCTCAAACAGGTTTTTTTTTTCTGATTTTCCCAAACAATTCATTCCCAGTCTGAGATGGCATGTGCCAGTTTTTTTTAAAAAAACAAAGTTATAGGTACCTGAATAAGGCATTTATATTGAAAGTGCCATCTTAACCTTCACTTACTAGAATAGAAGATTGCCGCACCAAAACTGGACTAGTGCTCCAGTACTGGACACTTCAGAGAAAAGTTCAGTGATAATTATGTCCAAAAAGGAAATTTTCCCTTAATACCATCCCATAGGGCATATGCCCTGACACATGAAGCTGTATAACCCTTAGATTTTTCTATCCTATGTTGATATTTTTATTATCCATGTAAATATCTACGCTTTTTTGGATCCAACTAGGCTCTTGGCCTCAATGATATCCTGTGGCAATAAGTTCCACAGGTTTATTATGTGTTGTGTTAGAAGTTTTAAGTGTGTTGCCTTTTGATTTCATTGGATGTTCCATTGTTCTTTTACTATATAAGTGGTCTACCCCACTTAAAACGCTGCATTGGTGCAGCTGCATCGCTGAAGTGCCTAAGTGAAGACATTCCTATGCCAATGGGAGAATCCCGTCGGCGTAGTTAATCCACCTCTGCGAGAGGTGGTAGCTATATCAATGGGAAAAGCTCACACTCTGACATAGCGCTGTTTACACCAGGGGTTAGGTCGATATAACTATGTCACTCAGGCATGATTTTTCACACCCCTGATGTAGTTATACCAATATAAGTCTGGGGCCTGGTCTACACGGGGCTGGGGGGGGGGCGTAAATCGATCTAAGATACGCAACTTCAGCTACGAGAATAGCGTAGCTGAAGTCGACGTATCTTAGATCGACTTAGAATCACTTACTTCGCGTCCTCATGGCGCGGGATCGACGCCTCCGCTCCCCCGTCGACTCCGCTTCTGCCTCTCGCCGTGGTGGAGTTCCGGAGTCGACAGCAGAGCGATCGGGGATCAATTTATCATGTCTACACTAGACACGATAAATGGATCCCCAATAGATCGATCACTACCCGCCGATCCGGGTAGTGACTTACGTGATGTAGTTATACCAATAGAAGTCTGTAGTGTAGACCTGACCTTAGAAAGCACACATGGGATGTTATTAAGAACCTAAGAATGACCATAAAACTGGGTCAAACCAATGGTCCATTTAACCCAGTATCCTGGCTTCTGACAGTGGCTGCTAACAGATGCTTCAAATGGAGTGAACAGAACAGGACAATTTATAGAGTGATCCATCCCCTGTCATCCAGTCCCAGTTTCTGGCAGTTAGAGGGTTAGGGACACACAGAGCATGGAGTTGTGTCCCTGACCATCTTGACTAATAGCATTTATGGACCCATCTGCAATGAACTTATCTTATTCTTTTTTTAATCCCAGTTATAGTTTTGGCCTTCACAACATGCCCTGGTAATGAGTTCCACAGGTTGCCTGTGTGTTGTGTGAAGAAGTACTTCTGTATGTTTGTTTTAAACCTGCTGCCTATAAATTTCATCAAGTGACCCCTGTTCATATGTTAGGTGAAGGGGTAAATAATACAATCTTATTCACATTCTCGACACAGTTCATGATTTTTTTTTACCTCTATCATATCCCCCCTTAGTTATCTCTTAGCTAAGCCAAACAGTTCCAGTATTTTCACTCTCTCCTCATATGGAAGGTGTTTCATAACCCTAATCATTTTTGTTGCCCTTCTCCGTACTTCTTCCAATTCTAATTTTTTTTTTCAGATGGGGCAGCCAGAACCGCACACAGTATTCAAAGTGTAAGTGTATCATGGATTTATATAGTGGCACTGTGATATTTTCTGCCTTATTATCTATCTTATTTCTAATGGTTCCTATCATTCTGTTAGCTTTTTTAGACTGCTGCTGCACATTGAGTAGATGTTTTCAGAGAACTATCCAATGATTCCAATTTCTCCTTCCTGAGTGGTAATAGACCCCATCATTTTGTATGTATAGTTGGGATTCATTTTTCCAGTGGCATTACTTTGCATTTATCAATGCTGAACTTCATCTGGCATTTTCTTGCCCAATCACCCAGTTTTGTGAGATCCCTTTGTAACTCTTCACAGTCAGCTTTGAACTTAACTATCTTAAGTAATTTTGTATTGTCTGCAAACTTTGCCACTTCACTGTTTACCCTTTTTTAATTTATTAATATGTTGAACAGCACTGGTCCCAATAGAGATCCTTGGGGAACCCTGCCATTTACTTCTCTGTACTTGAAAACTGACTGTTTATTCCTTTCTTTTGTTTCCTATCTTTTAACCAGGTACTATTTATTTTATTTAGCGCTTGACTATTTGCTAAGCCAAGCAATAGCGTTCTTAGCGGCCAGGTTACTGATACATGAGAGGACATTCCCTTTTATCCAATTACTCCTTACTTTGCTTAAGAGCCTTTGGTGAGGCACCTTGTCAAAGACTTTCTGAAAGGTACACTATATCCACTTGATCTCCCTTCTCTATATGTTTTCTGACACCCTCAAAGAATTCTAATAGGTTGGTGAGGCCTGATACCCCTTATTGCTTAATGTGCTAGAGATACTAGGGAAATGAGCATGCTATAAGGATCTACATAGAACAGAATAGAATGTCTTACCCAAACCACAGGTTCATCTCCACATCCTGACTGCTGCTTCCAGAGCGGTATCTGCAAATTACAAGTTAGAAGCTAATTTTAAGTAAACCAAAGAAATATCTAGGATTTCAGTCTAATACAAGTTAGGTCGGTCTTCACTGAATGATAAAATTAGTCAGCTTGCGTTACATCTGCAATGCAATAATTAAGCTTTTATCAGATTGTCTTTTGGTCTTTTTGAGCTCTTAGTTGGGGACCACACAGACCATTCAGTCTCCTCAGCTGACTGATAGCAGCAAATGGATCCCTGCCATCCTCAGGGAGATGATACGTCTCCAAATGTCAGCTCCAAGGCCCAGACTGCCATATATGACTAAAAGACCTGCCTTTTAGGATCTTTTCCAGTATCTGTGTGACCATGGGGCCCAGCTGAGCTACCAGGCTCAGGTCACCTATATGCCTGGATCCCCATCTTTCCTTCACAGTGAATCTGTTTTGACCTTTGTTCTATATCACAACTCATCAACTTACCATCCTTCTCTCATTGGATATGAAAACAGCATAAAATTCTTCTAAAGGGTATTGATCATAACTTCTGATGTATTCACAAAGTTTCCAAACATTTTCCTCACTGTAAAATACAAGTTTTTTACAGTTCTTGTTTTATTTCTGATTTACACAATAAAAACAGGATAGATGTTGTGATTTTTCCACTTTTGGATTAATTTTTCTGTTGAAGACTTTTTCCCAACTCCCCTTCACACATCTGTTTTTAATCTCTAAATTTAGGTCCAAGCTCTTATAAAAATGTTTCCACAATTAATTCATAGACTTTTAGGCTTAACTACTGTTTAACAGACAAGAGGCAGCATCATTTGGTTTATTCTGTCAAGAAATGCTTTGTAATACCAAATGACTGGTGTATCTAGTGTTTAGTCTTTTCCTCATTGTCTATGGCAAAGTTTTGATTCAAGTATCAACAAATTATATTAAATACAGTAACTCCTCACTTAAGGTTGTAGTTATGTTCCTGAAAAATGCTACTTTAAGTGAAACTATGTTAAGTGAATCCAATTTCCCCATAAGAATTAATGTAAATAGGGGGATTAGGTTCCAGGGAAATTTTTTTTTGCCAGACAAAAGACATTGTGTGTGTGTGTGTGTATATATTATATATACACACACATACACACTATAAGTTTTAAACAAACAATTTAATACTGTACACAGCAATGACAATTGTGAAGCTTGGTTGAGGTTGTGGAATCAGAGGGTGGGATATTTCCCAGGGAATGCCTTGCTGCTAAATGATGAACTAACACTCGGCTGAGCCCTCAAGGATTAACACGTTGTTAATGTAGCCTCACACTCTATAAGGCAGCACGAATGGAGGGAGTCAGGAGGAGACACAATAGAGGCATGGCAGTGGCTGCAAACATTCCCTACAGTAACCGAACAGGAGGATGAACCCACGCTATCCCACTGGAGCGCACCACTCCCTCCACTTTCCAAAGTGCTGGGTGGTGAATGTGTCTATGAGACAGAGACACACACCGTTTGTGTGTGTGTGAGCGAGAGAGAGAGAGACGAGCATTGCCCCTTTAAGTATGCTGACCCCATTCTAAGTACACTGCCTTTTTCAGTATATCAGGAAGTTGAGACAGCAGCTGCTGACAGCAAGCTCCCTCTGTCCTGAGACCTGTAGTGTCCGCCCTCCCACCCCCCTCCACTCTGTGAAGACAGGGTACAGGAGCAGGGGAAGGGGCACACCCTGACATCAGCACCTGTCTCCCCCACCCCCGCACAGCAATCAGGAGGCTTCCAGGAACAACTCCAAGGCAGAGGGCAGGAGCAGCACATGGCAGTAGGGGGAGAGACACCTGCACTGCCCAGCAGTTAATAGCCTGCTGCGTGGCTGCTTCATAGGGAACTTAGGGAAGCTGATAGGGGGATGCTGGCCCACCCAGCCCCTACCAGCTAACGCCAACGGGCTGCTCTTCCTGCAAGCAGTGGACAAAGCAGGCAGCTGCCAAAAAACATTACAAGGGAGCACTGCGCAACTTTAAAAGATCACGTTCTCTAATAGGTCAGCGATGTAACAACATTAACCGGGACGACATTAAGTGAGGAGTTACTGTAAAAATCTTAACTGTAAAAATAAATGTTATCAAGTGTATGTAACAGCTTTTAAAAATATTTGTAATTTTTAAATAGACTTCTATCTGATGCTAGCAGAAAGTATTAACAATTCCTGTATATAAAATCATTGTTACCTAATATTACTATTGTAATAGTTCTGTACAATTCCAAATAAACAATGCCACTGATAACAATAACTGCATATGACATACAATAAATACTAATGGAATCACAAATTATTTTCCAAGTGATAAACTATCCAGGAGGCTACAATGACCCTGTATATTGTTATTCCCCAGTAAATCATCCTTCAATAATCCTGATTTGGACACTGTAAATTATAGTACTCTCTAACCAATGCACCCTTTTATCCTATAATACCAAATGTTATTGTAAGAAGAATACTCTTTCTTTCCTGGCTCTTACGATCTCATTTCTTCCACTTTGCCTCCTGCAAGAATATGTGCAGAATTTCTAAAGAGAAAGGGAAACATGAGAGATGGCAATAGGGAACCCTGGTCCTCAGTGCATCCTCTCTTGGTGCACTTATTACTTGACTAGTGAAGAAGAAAGCAAATGTACCCAGCACGCCACATTTCTTACATGTCTATTGCTCCTTACCAATAGCAGCTGGTGTACACACAGGAGTGCCGAGCAGGAGCAGCTGGCTGATAGCCAGCAGTTGCTGCTGCTGCTGCTGCTACCCTTGGCTGTTCCATAGGTAACCCTCATCCAGGTGTATAGGAGTACTGTCTAGGGGCGGGTTTAACAGCCTCATATACCAGAAGGCAGCACTAAAGCTTCCCCCAACTGTATAAAGCAGCAGTTTGCTCAGGAAGTGTTTGTGGGTTGTGCAGGAAATGGGTGAGTTACAAGCAATTTCTTCCCCTAGGAAATCTGGCTGTTATTGCACGACTACTAGGAGCTCAGGCAGGTGGGAGGCGTTTTAACTTGGATATAAAGTGAGATCATTTCTATTGCTCTGTTAAGCTCCAGCATGCTGCATCAAAGGAGGGGGCAGGTTGAGCCAGAAGAGTGGAGAAGGGGGAAGTTTTGAACCCAAACCAGAAAAAGGGCAAAGTTTGAGCCAAGGTGGGCAAAACGGGTAGCTTAAGCCCAGCTCAGACGGTGGGAGGATCCTGAGCCAAAACAAGGCGTGGAGAGAGAGGGCTTGAGTGGGGAGAGAGATAATATCAGGAGGGTGACCAGATGTCCCGATTTTATAGGGACAGTCCCTGTATTTGGGGCTTTTTCTTATCTAGGCTCTTACTATCCCCGCCTCCTGATTTTTCACACTAGCTATCTGGTCACCCTAGGAGAGATCCTGAGCTTACAATGGAGGGGTGGGAGAGGTCAGGACAGAGGCTGAGCCTTAGCAAGGGGGTAGGGTGAGCTGCTACTAATCAAGAAGGGCAGAGGAATGGAATCTGGAGCTGGTAGTGCGGGAGAGACTGACCCTGAGCCACAGGGAAGAAGATGTTGAGGACGAAAAGGAAGCCTGTTCACAGCGTGCATGGAAAACCTCCCCAGAGAAGTGTTTTCCATCTGAATTATACATGGCCAAACAGATATTTGAAGTTAAATACAGTACCTTTCTTTCTGGCTGTCTTTTTGTTAAATCAGCAGGAAGAGATTCTTGAGATAGTTTTAAGCCTTGAAAACTGGCAGAAGCTTGCTTAACCTGGCAAAACTAATGGCTGCACAAGGGCCTTTCATCTCCTGGGCCATAAAATACACAAAAGAGTTTATTTTTATAAGGTGCTTACAGGTAGCACCACACAGTCACGAGGTTTAATCATGTAAAAGACTTTTTTTTATTTAAAGCTGTATTCATTGCTGTTCACTTCTCTAGTAGCTATTATGTCTTGCCCCATAGTTTGGTGATGGGTAGGGCTAACATTAGGTAGGACTGTGTGGAAAGTTTGGGGGTGTGGTTTTTTTGTTTGTTTTTTTTTTTTTTGTGCCAGACATCACAAAAAATCCTTAATTTATTTCCAGGCCATGACACTTGAGCAAAATGTTGTGTCACATCAAAACTACAGCAGGCTCTCAATTTTTTGTGGATGAGACTACATCAGTATTTGCGGTGTTTAGATATGACCTTTGTAGCTGACAATGGACTTTTAACTGAAATGTGCTAAACTTTTCGAGAGAATGAAACCTTCATATTTGAAACTTTAGTTTGCTTTATTGCTCAGGAGGATGGAAGCAAAATAGAGGAAGCAGGGGAAGGACTTTAATGAAAAATTAACGTGTTTTGCTTAAACAGTCTATTTTGGAATGAAAATGTTATTGCACTCTTTTTGTGATGGAATGTGCTGGCTATTAGTGTTATGTCCCAATCTTAGCTGGGCCCATGAGAGCCAAAGGCCAATATTTTCTAAAATAAGAATGTACAGATAGGCTACTAAGTAAATACAGTAACTCCTTGCTTAATGTTGTAGTTATGTTCTTGAAAAATGCTACTTTAAGCAAAATGATGTTAAGCGAATCCAATTTCCCCATAAGAATTAATGTAAATGGTGGGAGGGGGTTTCAGGTTCCAGGGAAATTTTTTTTGCAGACAAAAGACATTATATACACACAGTATAATTTTTAAACAAACAGTTTAATACTGTACACAGCAATGATGATTGTGAAGCTTGGTTGAGGTGGTAGAATCAGAGGGTGGGATATTTCCCACCCTTCTTGCTGCTAAATGATGAACTAGCATTCGGCTGAGCCCTCAAGGGTTAACACATGGTTGTTAATGTAGCCTCACACTCTACAAGGCACCACAAATGGAGGGAGGAGACACAACAGATGCATGGCAGTGGCCGCAAATATTCCCTGCGGAAACTTGATGATGATCGTGTGTGTGAGAGAGAGAGGTGCACATTGCCCCTTTACATATGTGGACCCCACTCTAAGTACGCTGCCTTTTTAAGTATATCAGCAAGTTGAGACAGCAGCTGCTGCCAGTAAGCTCCCTCTGGCCTGAGCCCTGTCCAGCTGCAACGTGTGTGCATGCCCCCCCCCGCCTGACTGGGGTGCAGCGTGTGTGTAGGGCCCTGCCCCTGAACGCCCTTCCCCTGGGGGGAGGGTATGACAGGGTGACAAGGACCCATTGAATTAGAGCCCTGTCTTTTGCGGCAGGCTCCTGCAACACCTGCCCCTGCCTGGCGGGGATCTGGCTCCGCGGGGAACAGCTGTCTGAGATCTCGGGCAGTGGCTCTTTAAGGGACTGGCATTTGAATCTCCTTTCCGCGGGAAGCGACGGAGCAGGCGGGCTGAGCGCCTTTCTCTTAGCCAATCAGAACCGGGCAAAACACTTGCGCCCCCCCCCCCCAACTTTGCACGCGCCAAAAATTCCAAAGGGACTCAGTACCGGTACGTGTCTCTCCGCACCCTGTCCGGGACTAACCGACCAGGGGAAAGAGAGTCCCACGGGACGAGGGGGGCGGAACGATTTCTGTCGGTGCGGCCGCAGGCTCAGTGATGGAGGGTAACAGCAGCAACAGGTACCACGCGACCTGCTGACTCTCAGGAGTCGCACCGCGGCTCTGCTGAGGGGCGGAGGCGGAGAGATACGACGGCAGGGCGGTGAAGCGACAGCCCGCGGTTTGTGGCGCCAGAATTCGGAGAGAAGCCGCCGCCCCCCCAGCCGCTTGAGCCGGAACGGGTCCGGCCATGGTGATGCTACGGAGCAACACGGGTAGCGGGCGCGGCCGCCCCGTCCCGTCCGCCGCCCCGAGCGGTCAGGGGTCCCTTTACGACCTGATGGACTCAAGCTCCGAGTTCCTATCCCTGAACTCCCCGGCGCCCCGGAGCCGCAGGATGGGCACCCGCTCGGCCGCAGCCGCCTCCGGCAGCAAGTGCAGCAGAGGAGCCGGGAGAGCGCCGGAGGCCACGGGCAGCGTGAGTACCGGGGCAGCCTTGCGGCGGACAGCTATGCTGATGCCTTCTCCCAGGCCCGCCTGAAGAGTGCGATTCCCCCCGGTCCTTGGCGGCGACTGTCCCCACGGGCTGCGGCGGCGGGGTCCGGGGGGCGGAGGGGCCCGAGCTCTCCTGGCGCCGGCGAGCGGCCGTGGTGACCCCCTCCCCCGGGAAATCTGGGGTGGGGGTGGTGGTCTGAACTCCGCCCAGAAAACGGGGCCCATCCCCATAGTGTGGCGGGGTCTAGGGGCTGAGGGCACTCTACAGCGGGAGCCTGTGGTGAGACACGTCCGGCTTGGCTCCCCTTTGCTGGGGTCGGCTCTGCTCTGGCTTTAGGTAACCGGATTATCCGCGAAGCTGTGTTCATTCCCCACGTGCTGGCTCCAGAGCTACCGTTTGAGGGTCAGAGCCTTAGGCCTTGTCTTAGCGTTTTAACTGTGTGTGCGCGCGTGCGGTTGAGTAACATCATGGGCTCCACAGTGGAGATAAAGCACTTCCGTCTCACTCCGATGTAAACTTGGTGAGGTCATCACTATTCTCCTGTGGTTGGCCCTGCTTAGTTTATCTCCTTGTTTCCACTTTTTTTTTTTTAACAGAAGGCTAGTTCATGAGTTAGTCACCCCAGATGAGAACTCCGCTTTTAGCAGTGAAGACGAGGCCACTGCAGTGAGATGTTACTGTAGTGGATTGTGCAGATTAACATGTAGTCAGCAATGAAAGTTTAAAATGTTGTTAATTGTCATTAGCCTTCAGAGTTAACATTTTGCATAAGACAGGATCTGCCCTCATTGATTTTACACAATGACTGAAGCTGCTGGAGCACAAAGTTGTAGCAGCCTAAAGAGTACCAGGTTGCTGAGCCCATCTTAATTTAATTCATGTCCATATGGAGAGTGGGGAAGGATTCCCTGCTAGGGAGGGAACTGCTAAGAATAGACCTGAGCCTCTTATCTAAAAGAGAACTTCTGGAAACTAGGAAGGGTAAATCTTGTCAGTTCCAACTATGTGACAAATGCACAGGCATATCCTGCTTCCTCTGAACACAAACTATATTAAAATATTCCCATCCGCCACACACTAGATGTCTTTTTTCCCTCCACCCCTGTTCTCGTTATGTCTCAGATCCCAGAGCTGGCCACGCTCATCCTGGTTTACCTATTAAAAACAATTGACAGAGTATACATAGAGTACAGTAACTCTTAACATGGTAGTTATGTTCCTGAAAAATGCTACTTTAAGCAAAATGATGTTAAGCTAATTCAATTGAGGGCTCAACCCAGTGTTAGTTCATCATTTAGCTGCAAGGCATTCCCTGGGAAATATCCCACCCTCTGACTCTACCACCTCAACCAAGCTTCACAATCATCATTGCTGTGTACAGTATTAAATTGTTTGTTTAAAACTTTGTGTTTTAAACAAACAATTTAATACTGTACACAGCAATGATGATTGTGAAGCTTGGTTGAGGTGGTAGAGTCAAACACACATATACACATCTTTTGTCTGGCTAAAAAGAATTTCCTGGAACCTTAATATCCCCCCCCCCCCCCATTTAAATTAATTCTTATGTGGAAATTGGATTTGCTTAATATCGTTTTGCTTAAAGTGCATTTTTTCAGGAGCATAACTACAACGTTAAGCGAGGAGTTACTGTACTTCAGTTGCAACTTCTGCGCTCCTATATCAGCCTGTGATGGGGTTTTACAGCTGCTGCAGTAGTATGTTCTGAGTTTATTACTTAGAGACCACTTCACAGGTAACAAATTGAAAAGTTAAGGGATTATTGTGGGGAATGATGTGTGTGTGGTTTATCCTAAATAAAATATCTAAGCTCTTTATTGGTTATTCAGAATATAGCTGTTTCTGACCAAATGACTTTCTAGGTTTTGAAGTTAAACCAGGTCAAAATGTGCCACCCAGATCTGTTCCTTGTA